TTTCAATATAGTTCTTGAACCTTTAGCTCTCGGAGCAATTGGACAAGAGAAGGAAATTAAAGGGATACAAATAGGACAAGAAGTCATATTATCTCTGTTTGCTGATGACATGATCCTATACTTAGAAGATCAAAAAATTCCACCAGAAGACTTCTGAAGCTATCAATAAATTCAGCAAGGTAGCAGGATACAAAATCAACATACAGAAATCAATAATTTTTCTATACCTCAATAACAAATCTATTGAGAAAGATTTTTTTAAAAAATTTCATAATAACCTCGAAAACAAACCAAGCTTTAAAATAAACCTAACCAATGAGGTGAAACATCTCTATAATGAAAATTATAGAACACTAAAGAAATAAATTGAAGAACTCAGACGATTAAAACACCTCCAATGTTCTTGGATACATAGAACTAATATTGTCATATTACCAAAAGCAATACATAGATTTCATGCAAAAGATCAATGGCAGTCTTCACAGAACTAGAAAAAACAATTCTAAAATTCATATGGAATAGCCAAAGCACTACTGAGCAATAAAAGTGAAGCTGGTAGCATCATAATACCTGTTCTCAAATTATGCTACAGAGTTATAGTAACAAAATCATATTGGTATTGGCATTAAAACAGACATGAAGATCAATGGAGTGGAATAGAAGACACAAATCCACATAGAGTTATTGGATCTTGACAAATGAGCTAAAAACATATATTGGAGAAAAGATATTGTGGTAGAAAAACTGGTTATCCATATATAGAAGAATGAAACAGGATCCCTATTCTTAATCCTGCATAAAAAATCAACTCAGAAGTGGATCAAATACTTAGGAGTTAGACCAGAAACATTGCAACTGGTAGAAGAAAACATAGGGTCAACACTCTTTAGATGCCAGTACTAACTTCCCACTAAGATTCCTAAAGCTCAAGAAATAAAACCAAGAATCAATAAGGGTATAGCTTCAAATTAAAGAGCTTCTGCAAAAATAAAGGAAATAAGAACATGAAGAGAGAGCCTACAGAATAGGAGAAAATCTTTGACAGCTACTTTTCCAACAGCAGATTTATATTCAGAATATATAAAGAATTTAAAAAACAGGAAAATGAACTAAATAGATGTTTCTCAAAAGAATAAATGCAGCTGGGGTTGTGGCTCAGTGGTTGAGCACTTGCATAGCATATGTGAGGCACTGGTTTTGATTCTCAGCACCACATGTAAATAAATAAAATAAAGGTCCATTGTCAACTAAAAAATATTTTTTTAAAAAGAATAAATGCAAATGGCCAACAAATATATGGAAACATGTTCATTTTTCTTAGCAATCAGGGAAATGCAAATCAAAATCATATTGAGGCCACTGCAGTGGTGTACTCCTGTAATCCCAGTGGCTTTGAAGGCTGAGGCAGGAGTATGCTAAGTTCAAAGCCAGCCTCAGCAAGGTGAGGCACTGAACAACTCAGTGAGACCCTGTCTCTAAATAAAATGCAAAATAGAGCTGGGGATGTAGCTCAGTGCTCAAGTACCTCTGAGTTCAATCCTTGGTGCCCTCCCAAAATCAAAAACAACCATACTGAGAGATCTCCAGTTAGAATGACAGTTGTTCAGAATACAAATAATAAGTGCTGGTGAGGATGTGGGGGGCGGGGGAGGTACACTCAGGCTTTGCTGGTGGAACTGAAAATTAATACAAGTTTGGAAAGCAGTATGTGATTTCTCAAAAGGCTAGGAATGAACCCACCCCATGACCCAGCTATCCCATTCCTTATTATTTATCCAAAAAAATGTAATCAGCAATCAAAAATAGTAATACATGCGTACCAATGTTTATAGCAGCACAATTTACATTAGCCAAGTTATGGAACTAGCTTAGATGCCCATCAATAGATGAATAGATAAAGAAAATGTTGTATATACGCAATGAAATTTTACTCAGTAATAAAGAATAAAATTGGGAAGGGAGGAAGGAAGGAAGGAAGGAAGGAAGGAGAAAGAAATTGTGTTATTTGCTCATAAATGGATGGAACTGGAGAACATCATGTTAAGTGAAACAAGCTAGACTTAGAAAGTCAAGTGTCAAGTAGAAGCTCATGTAGAAGCTAGAGAGAAATAAGGAACTTTTAAAAAGGAAGATCTCATGAAAATAGAAGGGAAAATAGTGGGTCAGAGTAAGCAGATCAAGGGGTGGAAGGAGGAACGGGAAAGAGGAAAGAAATGAAATTGACCAAGTTATACGCATATATGAATATATTATAATGAATTCCACTTGTACGTGTAGCTATAGTGCACCAATTATAAAACAAATTAATAGATGGAAAACTAATAGAGTAGAGGAAGAGAATCAGGGAGGAAAGGGAGGGGTTAGTACCACGGATTGAATGGAGCAAATTATGTTATATTCATTTATGAATATGTCAAAATGAACCCTAAAATTATGTAAAACTATAATGTAATAATCAAAAACAAAAATGGCTGTTTTAAAACTCCAGTTTAAGTAGATAAACTTGTGTTGTCTTCTTTAAACTATTAATTTTATAAGAAAAAATTCCCTTCCAAAAAATTGTGGTCTCAAAGGCCCTTTACCAGTCAATCTGAATTAATGAGTTTATTGCATTCATCTTCTTAAATCAAAGTAAACAAGTATGATTTCTACAATAGAGTTCTAAAGTCAAACCTTCACTTTTCTTCTTTCTTTCTTATGCAACTTTTAATTTCGTTTGTTGTTCTTAGATTCAGTTTCCTGCTTGATACTGGATTAGTTTATGATTTCCCAATACAGGGCAGAGATTCTGTCTTGTTCATTCTTCCATGCTTTTGATCTGTCTGTTATTTGTGATAATATTACTCAGTAAGTTGAATTTTCTTAGTGTCATTTATCATCTTGAAGACTCCCCTGAAATATCAGATTATACAATCACCATTCATTATGAAACTTGTTTAAATGAGAAAGGCATTTTTTTCTTCCCAAATGGCAACCTCTTCTATTTAGAATGTTACAATTGCCTAGCAATCTTGACTAACATTCCATTTTATAATTCTTTATGGAATGTTTCCCTGCCTACTACATATTTCCTAATTGATAGCACAAAACATATTAAGGTAGAATTTGTCTTTAATTGACGATGGCACCTCAGTAGCTAAAAGAAGGAAACTGTAAGTATAATAAAAATAAATTCTATTTAGTAAAAACTCTGTGTAGTTACTAGGGTTTTAAGATATTTAAAGCACTGTGTACTTGCAAACATGAATTAATATAAAATTATAAACCGTGCGTTATGTGTGATCTTCCCCTTTCCATCATTTTAATGGTCCTCACCTACATCTATTTTGTTTGGTTTGTTTCATATCTCAATTTCTTCTTTTATGTTTATTATTTTCTATGTTTTTATGTATTTTCTATTTTTCTTAAAGATTATTTATTTCCATGCTTTCATTTTATCTCTATTTTTAAATTTTTATTTTTGCAGTGCTGGGGATCTCGTCTTCAAAAAGAAAGAACAATTATCCTTGCACATGCTAGGCTAGCTATCTTACTACTAAGCTGCCTCCCAGCTCCATTTTTATTGACATAAATGTTTATGGCTAGGAATTTTCCTCTATTCCCTGTTTGAAATATATCTCTCAGATCTGATGTATAGTGTTTTGCTATCATTTTTCAGAAATTCCTTAACTTCTATTTATTTCTCTTGTTACACAGAATTGTTTAATAAAGAAGGCTTTTAAATTTTCAGGTGGAAAGCCTTTTTCGTCTTGGTGTTTGATTTTCAATTTACAGTTTTATTGCATTGTAAACAGAGGATATCATTTGTAACATTTCTACTTTATGGAATTTAGTGATCTTTTACTTGTGCCCTAGAACATAGTTGATTTTTATGAATAAGTTCTGTGTGCAATTTAGATGAAAGCATATTCTTTATTATCAAAGTATAGTGTTCAGTATACTACTAAAAGCTATACTGTAGTGATTATTTCATCTAAATGTTATTTACCTATTTTGGTCCACTTGGCCTTTCTCATGCTGATTACACTTTCTAGTTCTTACTGCATCTTCTGTTAAAGAAGTATTTATCTAAGAGATTGCTATGTTATCTGATACAGAAATAGAAGTAGTATATCTTTATTGTGGGATGTGGCTTTTTTTTTTTTTTTGTGGTGCTGGAGATTGAACCCAGGGCCTTATGTATGTGAAGCAAGCACTCTACCAACTGAGTTATATCTTTAGCCCAGGGATGTGGCTTTTAATGTACTCTTTTTCTTATTGAATGCTCTTTGGCTTGAAGACTACTTGGTCTACTGTCAGGATTTTAACCATGCTTTCTTATTTTCATTTGCATGGCATATCTTTTTCAGTCCCTTTATTATTATTATTATTATTGTTAGACATATTATTATTGTGTTTTAAGCATGCCTCTTGCACATAGGAAAGAGGTTTTTGGATTTGGTTTTTACTTCCACACAGTGATGAGAATCTCCAGGGCCTCTTGCTCTACCACTAAGCTGCATCCCCAGCCCTCATTTTTCATATTGAAACAGAATCTTAAGTTTCCCAGGCTGGTCTCAAACTTGTGATCCTCCTGGCTCAGTAATTGGGATTATTATCATAAACTACCTTGCACAGTTCAATTTTTATTAGTGATTTCTAATTTTGCTGATTTGTTATTCTTGCTAAGGAGACATTTTCTTCCATTATTTAAACAACATAATTTTATGAGAGGCATAAAGGAAAAACTCTGCCACAAAGCAGAGCACTAATTACCATAATAACTAAAGTATTTTTATTTTCAGGTTATCTGTAATAGCCCCCTGAGCCATTAAAAGCAATAATTTTTACAATAAGATTTTATTCACTTATTTTGGGTAATAATAAAATATTTCTGAATATGTAACTTTTTCTGGAGAAAAAATTATCACTGTATTTCAAGTATTAACAAAGTTTCTGTTCTATGAACTTTTTATACTTAATACCTTATTAATAAAGATTGAATCCTTGGTCTTTTGTAGACAAGAACTAAAAGAACCAAACAGGGAAGCATTCATATTTCAAGATCTTTAGGAAGAGGTAGGAATAGTTAACATGGAATCAAAAACGTGTGAACCAAATAATGAAGATCTTTTACCAAGTAGTGGCATCGCATCCAATGGAGGTATGTACCCTTTATAAAACAAAGTAGGAAACAAACTTAGAATTTGTCTTCATAATATTCATGTAGGTTCCTACTTTTAGTATGTTTTGTTTTTAACTTCAGGGCACAGAACATAATCATGAATGTATACTATATTGTTTATAATTCTACTTTATATGGAGAAAATAGCTTAGTCTTTCAAATGAGCATATCTGTTTGTTAGCATATGATTGATTACATTAAATTATCTTTTGCTTTAAAAATTGTTTCTGTGCTGGGACACTTCAACCTCATCACATTTCACCATGCTTTCCCTAATGCCTTTTCTTCCTCCTGTGTTTCTTTGTCTACTCCTCTAAGTTAGAATTTTCCATTATTTTGGCTCCTCTTCTCTCACCTGCTTCCACATTGAATCAAGCACCAAGTTCTGCTCTTCATATTCTCAGAGATGTCTTTTGAATTAATTCCCTTTACTTCTCACTGGTTTAGGTTCCCATCACCTCTGCTTCAAATTATTTTAATCAAAAGGTAGCAGTAAAACAGACATAGGTGGAATAAATAAATGGAATTTAATACAAGGGATTGTTTACATAGAGATGGAAGGGAAACATTCCAGAGATTAGCAACATTACTAGAGGCTGTGTCACCTCTTGATTAAGACAATGACAAAAGGAGCATAGAACCTAGAGCTGGAACCACAAGAGAACTGTGGAGGGAGCCTGGAGGGAGGAAAGTCCTCCAGTAACTGCCAGAAACTCACCTGGGGCAGGGTGAGAAGGGAGCAAGACTTTGACCTCTCCCCTCCTCCTGCCTCTGTTCTGCCAGCACTTCCCATTGTAAGGCTACTGGGGAGGAAAAGAGGGAAAGAGAATGGATTCAGGAGCAATGGGGCAGAAGACCTGCACAGTTCTGACTGCTTTCCTTCCTTTGTCTCTCACCTAACTCATTTTTTAGTACATTTAGAGTTTATTCTCAATTGCAGGAATGCTGTTTTGCTGACCAGATTAACAACTTTTATTTCAGCACCCTTATTTTGTAAAACTATCCTTCTCGGAATGTACATACCATCCTAAAATGCCTTTGTCACTCCCATGTGATTGTACCCATTCCTCCTGTCCACCTTCACTGGCTAACCTCCCAGCATAACTGCATCTCTCACACTGATCATGGACACTGTCACTTGGCCATGGGTTGTCTCTCCTTCCTTAGGTATATCATCATCTTGTCATATCATGGTCCTCATGGGTGACCCATCCAAGATCTGAAACTCAGAGCTTCTTGACCTCTTCACTTTGTATCATCTTGACCTTTAGTCTAACCACCCATTTCATAAGTTTGGATCTTATTACCAAGAACTGTTGGACAACCTCCTATCTTTCAGCCCTCTCACTCCCTCATTCCTTGAAAGCTTCTATTTTTCTGCCTAATGAAGGTGTGGTTCTCAACCATAGCCCATGTCAAAATCACTTTTTGAGATTTTAAACATTTAAATGGATTAGATTCGTACTTGAAACCGATTGAATAGATCTAGAGGGACTTAGGCATCACTGCTATTTTTTGTTGTTGTTTTATAAAACTTTCTCTAGTGGTTCTGATTTACAGAGAAGATTGAGAATAACTGCTGTAGATTCTGCCATTTTCCCTAAATTACCACTCTTCCTATAAACTCTTTCTTTTGTAACATCATTTTATGAATCATTTGCCAGTACACTTGCCCCTTTATTCTTCTGTTGCTCTTGCAGGAAAAACCCAAATCCTTATCAAACTGACTTGACTTCTCTATTTATGTACTAGGCTGCTGGAATATTTTCCTAGAGAAAGTACACACAGAGATTTTCCATCAGTTTCCAACATTTATGGTCTCCTATCTCAGCTGGGTCCCTATGCCACTGAGAAACATTTCTTTTTCTAAAATTAATTAAATTAATTAATTTGTTCTTATTTGTTATACATGACAACATTTCAGTTCATATACATGAGTGCATTTCAATTCATAGTACGCATATGGAGCACAATTTTTCATTTCTCTAGTTGCACACAAAGTAGAGGCACACTGTTTGTTGTTGGGGATGCAAATCAAGTCAAGATAGCGCCTGGCACATTGCTAGAAGGAGTGGTTTGTGAAGCAACGCCAGCGAGCCATTAAGATGATGAAGATTCCTTATTGACTGATTGCTGTATCTAGATGATGTTAATTGAAACAAGCTGTGTATAATCGGTTGGGTATATATACCTCTGCTGTCCTGCAATAAAGCGGCTCCTGCTGTTTCAGTATTCACAAGTTGCTTGTCACCCCCGGGTTATTTTGCCCAGCCAGACTGCGGCTACATGTACCTAGGGTAATGATGTCCATCTCCTTCTACTATCTTTCCTATACCCCTTCCCTCTCCCTTCCGCTCCCTCCTCTTTGCCCTATCCGAAGTTTCTCCATTCCTCCCATACTCCCCCCACCCACCCCAATTATAGATCAGCATTCACTTATCAGAGAAAACATCCAGCCTTTGGTTTGGGTTATTGGCTTATTTCACTTAGCATAATATTCTCCAACTCCATCTATTTACCTGCAAATACCATGGTATTATTCTCTTCTAATGCTGAGTAATATTCCATTGTGTATACATCCACAATTTCTTTATCCTTTCATCTACTGAAGGGCATCTAGGTTGGTTCCACATTTTAGCTATTGTGAATTGTGCTGTTATCAACATTGATGTGGTTGCATCACTGTAGTATGCTGTTTTTAAGTCCTTTGGGTATCAACCAAGGAGTGGGATAGCTGGGTCAAATGGTGGTTCCCATTCCAAGTTTTCTAAGGAATCATCATACTGCTTTCCAGATTGGTTGCACCAATTTGCAGTCCCACCAGCAATGTAAGAGTGTGCCTTTTGTCTCACATCCTTGCCAACAATTATTGTTGCTTGTTTTCTTAATAACTGCCATTCTGACTGGAGTGAGATGAAATCTTAGAATAGTTTTGATTTGCATTTCTCTAATTGCTAGAGATGTTGAACATTTTTCATATATTTGTTGACCAATTATATATCTTCTTCTGAGAAGTGTTTGTTCACTTCCTTAGCTCATTTATTGATTGGGTTATCTGGTTTTTTGGCATTAAGTTTTTTGTGTTCCTTATATATCCTGGAGATTAGTGCTCTATCTGATGTGCATGTGGTAACAATTTGCTTCCCTTCTGTAGGCTCTCTATTCACCTCACTGATTGTTTCTTTTTCTAAGAAGAAGCTTTCCAGTTTGAATCCATCCCATTTATTGACTCTTATTTTATTTCCTGTGCTTTAGGAGTTTTGTTAAGGAAGTTGGGGCCTAATCCAACATGATGAAGATCTGAGCTTACTTTTTTTTATATTAGGCACAGCATCTCTGGTCTAATTCCTAAGTCCTTGATCCACTTTGAGTTGAGTTTTGTGTGTGGTGAGAGATAGGGGCTTAATTTCATTTTGCTGCATATAGATTTCCAGTTTTCCCATCACCATTTTTTGAAGAGGCTATCTTTTCTCCAGTGCATGCTTTTGGCACCTTTGTCTAATATAAGATAATTGTAGTTTTGTGAATTAATCTCTGTGTCCTCTATTCTGTACCATTGGTCTACAAGTCTATTTTGGTGTCAGTACCATGCCATTTTTGTTACTATTGCTCTGTAGTATAGTTTAAGGTCTGGTATAGTGATGCCACCTGCTTCACTCTTTTTGCTAAGGATTGCTTTGGCTATTCTGGGTCTCTTATCTTTCCAGATAAATTTCATGATTGCTTTTTTTTTATGAGGAATGTCTTTTGATTAGAATTTCAGAGAAACATTTCTTATGATCTTAGTTACATCTGTTTTCAATTTTCTATAATATTTATTTTATAATTGGCCATTCCAGATGAAATCCAAATTCCTTGGCATGACCACAGGTCCTTCATGGTCTATCCCATGTTTTCATTCTCATGTCTGACCACTACTTTCCTTCCCCCTGGAATATCCCATCTGTCCCAAGCCTCCTGGCCTATAATAGTGGTGCCCCCACTGCCTGAAATGTCCTCTCTCCTCTCCTATCCTCCAGACTTGTTAGTTCTTGCCAACAAATACGCAGAGTCCTTCAGATCAAGTATCATTGGATTGCCCTCCTCCCTGTAGTCTGTTCCTCCTTTGTGCTGTGTTCATCTTTTTTTAGAGCTCTTACTGTCTCTTTAGTATTTTTTCATGAGGTCTCACTCCTTCAATAAGGGAAATCACCTAGCATAATATTTGCTGAAAAAGTTATTTAATGAAATTAATTAATAAATTCTTTAATATTTAGGTTCTTCAAGCCCATTTTTTGTGTCATCAATTCGTGGTACAATAATTGAAAACACAGCTGCAACTGGGACTTTGACACAAATTCCTATTTTCCCTAAATATGAAGTAGAACTTGATTCTCATAGAAAAATAATTCCTTATCCTGGGAAGGAACACATTGAACGTGTTTTAGAAGAATATTCACATCAAGTCAAAGATTTGCAAAGAAGACTAAATGAAGTGAGTTGCATTTTTCTCTTCTAGTGCCTAATTATTTCAGGGACAGTAGGGAGGCATAGTGCCTTGGGAAAAATCTAAACTTCCTGGAAGAAAAAATTAGCCATGGATCTCTTGGTTAAATTTTGATTTGATCTGTGCTTTCTATTTTGGTATTAAAATTTGTACTAATGAAAAGTGTACATATCTTTTTGTTATTGTTAATTTGTCACAATGCCTTGGTATCATGATTTAATTTTGAACACTTGAATGGCTCAATATGTTATAATTAATGACATTTATCTGTAATTATAATTAATGATTTGTTCAGGGATGTTCTCCTTTCTTCATGATACCTGGTTTCCTTTTACAAAATGATGGTAGCAGGTACATTTTGAGATGTATATGTATACATGACAGCTAAATAAAGTTTAGAAGTTATTTGCTAAAAATTTCAAATGAACACTACATAGATAGTTGCATTTCAGGTCCTATAGTCTACAATCTAAAAGTCAAAATTTTTAACCACCATGTACATAGTTCTTTGTGATCTAACCTGTCCTCTGGCACCTGTCCTCTACTTGTATCCACTATCCCAGCAGTATCAAGCCACTTGCTCATCCTAAATGTATCATGCTATTCTAGACCTCCTCCATGCTTTTGCCCAGACCATATCCTCTTTTCTACCTTGTCTGCCTGGCAAATTCTTATTAACCATCAAGACAGCTCTAGCATGTCCTTTTCTAAAGTCTTTTCTCTAGACAGCTTTGGATGTGATGACCTCTGTACAGTTATTGCATTTTATGCAAATGTTATAATATTTAATATACTTTATTAATCTTATTAACACATTGTTCCACGTCATCAGACTATATAAGCCCTTCTACGGTAAAAAAAAAAACCCTGTATTTATTAAGTGCTGACAATTATGTACCCCTGTATTATATACAGAACATACGAAAATGAATAAGATAGGACTTATATTGAGTTTATAGTTTTGGAGGGAGCTGTTCAGGTAAACAAATAGTGACAATACCTTATGACAAATAAGCTAATGAAGATATATAGAGACAAAGGAAGCACAGAGGTTGTAGTGAGGAAATGAAATGGTGTCTCTATTTTGTGTTCATCTCCTGGGAAACTATGCAACACTTGATTGGCTTTCAATAAATATGAGTTAAATCAGTAAATAAATTAACAGGGCTGTTTGTATCATGTACCTCTTTTAGAACAGACATGATGCTAGGTACTGGATATATAAAGATGGAAAAGATGTGATCACTTACATGTACACATTTATAGTCTTATGGCTGAGATAGTTAAAATAGAAAATGGTAACAGTGAGATCTGTCCTTCAATAACAGGTAAGTAGCGATGGTAAATCAACGGATACTTCACATTCTTTATCTTACTTGACTTTTCAGCATTGAACACAAGTAGGTGTTCTTTTCCTCCTTTATTTTTTTTTTCTTTTGGAACTTTGGATTGAACCTGGGACTTAGTGCATGCAAATAAGTACTCTACCATTGATCTATACTTTAGTCCAGTATTCTTTTACTCTTGAAGTACTTTTTAAAGTTTTTAATCTTTGTTTTTTGTGCTGGAGATTGAACCCAGAGCCTTGTGCTTTGTAACCATATTTTAAATTTCTAAGACTTCTTTCCCATTCATTTTTTTTTTAAAGAGAGAGTGAGAGGGGAGAGAGAGAGAGAGAGAGAGAGAATTTTTAATATTTATTTTTTAGTTCTCGGCAGACACAACATCTTTGTTGGTATGTGGTGCTGAGGATCGAACCCGGGCCGCACACATGCCAGGCGAGCGCGCTACCGCATGAGCCAAATCCCCAGCCCTTTCCCATTCATTTTTTTTGACATAGCATCATGCTCTTACATTGTAGTTGTAATATCATATACAAGTTTTTGGAAGTGTTTTTCTGTTCCTTGCATTATCTATCTTTGTTTCCTCTTTTTATGGATGTTTGCTTTTTTAAACTTGGTCTGTGCTTTTTATTTTAGAATCAGTGTTCAGTTGCCTTTTTTTTCCTGTTCAGATGATAAGGCAATAAAAAAGCTGATGGACAATTCTCTAAGGCAGAACTTGATGGCTTTGCTTGGAATAATTAGGTGAGGCACCAGCTATTATAGTAGGAGCCCACTCAGTGCCTGATTTTAGAAAACTTGTGAATTTCTTTGTAGTTGAACACATTTATATTCAGGTGATTGTGAGTTGTGTTGTGGATGTTGGCTTTTGTGTTCTTTGTTTTAGGATTTTTGTGTGTGTGTGTGTGCTGGGGATTAAACCCAGGGCCTTATACATGCAAGGGAAGCACTCTACCAACTGATCTACATCTTCAGCACTAGCTTTTGTGTTCTTGCTGGGGAAATTTCAGGAAAGACAGGAAATGTAGTAAAAGTACAGAGAAGTTTATTAGGAAAGAAGGTACTTTCAAGAGGGAGGGAGAATGGGTTGGTAGTCTCTAAGAGAAAAAAATGATCACATTTGTTCTCCAGTTTTACTGGGGGGGGGTCTTAGAGAAGTTTCTAGAGATTTCTGCCCAGCCTACCACCTTCCAACTTTTGAATGACAGTAGAATTGTAATAGATTTTAAGTCCTTAGACTTACCCATAGTTATCCAAACAAAAACCATGGAGGAAATTTTATCATTATATTGAGATTAAAATCATATGGTAAAGATCTAAAGACAACTCTTGATAAAGGATCATAAATGTACTTCTTTCTGGGTAACTTGTGTTCTCATCAACAGGGAGGAATCTTAGAATCAAGAGTCTTGAGAAATATAGCTCTTCAGGTAACCAGGTGTTTGTTGAGGAATACAACCTATCCTATTGACTTAAGCCAGAGTAGGGCCAGAGTGGCTTTAGGTAAATTGCTTTTCAAGAGAAAACATGAGCAATATCTAAGCTTTCTAGATGTCCTGAGGTGATGGTATCATAAAAAGTAGAGCTAATAAATTAGCCAACTTGTATATATATATTTTTTAATCATTGATAGAAAAGATGCATCTTGAACATGGAATTGTTTTACCTCTGGGCAATATCAGAACTTGTTCATTTGTCTGGCAATAGAGGGACAGTCAGAAGCACACAGTGAAAGATGGGAGGAGGCGCTCAAGAATTTATGTTTTGATGTGAGCCATTGATTATTTGCATCTTCTGGCTATATGATAGGAATACTTGAATTCACTGGGAACATGCATTCTTGCTAATATTTTAGAAGTAGAAATCTGATAATGAATCCTCTTAGAAACATGCTTGATATATTCTGAGGGTTTTTTTTTTTTTTGGTCTCATTTTAAATAGAGCATTAAAGGAATGCATTATTTTAGTTGTAATTCTGCCTATATGTCTGTCTAGAGACCTGTTGCCATTTTTGTCTTTAGGGAAATTTTTGTCCCCAAAAAGGATTACAATTTTTTTTCTAACAGATTGTGTTAATGTAGTGTATTCTTGGTTATCAAAAATATTCATGTATTTTTTTGGGATTTTGGATTGGTGACTCTTCATGATGTGTGGGAAAGCACTATATACACTATGATCTCAATCACACAAATGGAATGTTGTGTACATACATGTACAACCCTGAGGGACAGGTCCAGCTAAGCTGCTTGTGACTGACTGGATGAGTTGGTTCTTTGCTTTTGTTTTTTTCTGTTTTCTACAATGCACACATTGACTTTTAAAAAATAAAATCTGTTTTAAAAACCTGAGAAGAGAGAGAGAGAGAGAGAGAGAGAGAGAGAGAGAGAGAGAGAGAGAAGGAAGGAAGGAGTGTGTCAGGCCAGAACATAGATAAAGCTTATAAAAGTATCCCATTGACTCCATGTTCTCATCACTCATGTCTAACTGTTATTTAGCAAGTTGGAGGTAGGGTTTGACTTTTCTGTATATATAATTTCAACCAGTTCTCCTATTTTAAGGAACAAAACATTCCCCTTTTCATTTTGAGCCAGAAGCCAGATTTATTTTAGATTTGTTGTAAAGTGGAGAATGGATGAAAAGAAGCCAAGCTTGAGACAGGAAAATTAGTTAAGATAGTCTTATATAGAGAGAAATGATTAATTGGGATCTGAATTACAATGGCAAGGGAAGGGCATACTATGCCATAGGAACTGTGTGCTGCTAATGGAATTTAATTTGGTTTTGTTTTTTTACCCCCAGAGCAATGAATTGCATGAGAAACAAAAATTTTATTTAAGGCAGTCAGTCATTGATTTGCAAACAAAACTTCAAGAAATGCAAATGGAGAGAGACGCCATGGCTGACATCAGGTTGGAATATGTTACCTGAATTTTTGTGTAGTGCTGGGGATGGAACCCAGGGCCTTATGCATGCTAGATGAGCATTCTACCACTTAACTACACCCCAGCCCTGATTCTGTTTTATCCTTTGGAATAAAACTACTTGTGTGAATATGATATTCAATCTCATATTCAATATTACTTCTTTTCTTTCATTTATTTCACAGACGAAGGGAGAGTCAGTCCCAGGAGGATTTAAGAAATCAGCTTCAAACTACAGTTCATGAACTTGAAGCTGCCAAAAGCCTTAAGGAGAACATGTTAAAAGACAGCAATGCACAAATAGAGCAGCTCAGGAAAATGATGCTGAGTCACGAAGGAGCGCTTCAAGAAATCCGATCAATCTTAGTTGACTTTGAAGAAGGCTCAGGCAAGAAAATCTATGAACACGACAGCATGTCTACTGTGCATTTCCGCAGCTTGGGCTCAGCTGTTAGTAAAATCCTAAGAGAATTAGACACAGAAATTTCTTATCTGAAAGGGAGGATATTTCCAGTAAGTGGTGAGAACACTCCTTCAACTTTTATGTTAAAATGCATTAAGAGAATAGTATTAGGCATGTATTTTTAAGGTTTTTAAAAGTAAACCAAGTTCTCATTCTTGTTCTCTTGAATAATAGAAGCTACTTCCATAGTGATCTCTCTTACTAGGAAATCAATTTGCTTTCTCTGTATTGCTTCATGAAAGTAGATCCAGATTAAAAGATCTAGTAAAGTACAGGATTAGATTTACCTAATTTTAGTATTATTTGTATATGCATCTCACCAAAGCATATCTTTAGCTGAAAAATCTCTAGATTTACCAGTACCTAAATCAGTGTCTCTTTTTTAAAAAACCAGGTGGAGGATCAGCTTGAAACATTGAAATCTGAATCACAGAACAAAATAGAGCTACTTCTTCAGCAACATCAAGATAGGTAGGTTTCTGTCTGAGATCAGAAAGTCATAGTGAAACTATATCAGTTTTACAGTCTTGCCTGCAAATCCAAAAATCTTAAAAGCTCTGAGACCCAGAAGGTTTTTGTAGGTTTGTGGCAAACTCATGTTAAAAGGTTTTTTGGTACTTGTTAAAGCTTCACAGAAGGCATTCAAGACAGTTGCAATAGTGCTTTTGCTCTAGGTAAGAAAGACTAAGCGCAATTCACAAACGACCAGCACAAGAGGAAGCTTATAAACAAGAACCAAGGGTCAATGGATGGAAAATTATTAAAGGGAGACATCAAGTGTTGGGGCATTTTTGCTAATGGCAGGCCAAGGTCTTAGATATCTAGGCTGAGGGATGAAGAACCTAATCAGTTATCTAGAGTAGGAGGATATTAAAACTGAGCTGGGCCCCAAACAGGAATTTAGCTAACTAAGGTCAAGCCTACTTAAAAGATGACTTAGAAAAGCCTAACTAAAGTATAGTAAAGGAGAGAATGTTTGTCGATAATTTGTCAGCAAAACTTGACCTAGCTAATGTGGTTTATTTGTTTTTGTTTTTACAGGTAGATTGTTTTTTAATAAAGGAGTTAATTTTCTTTCAACCATATATAAAACAATAGCAATTAAAAACTTCATTTTCAAAAGTTAAATATTTACAAATGAACAAGTAACTATGCAAAATTTACATGAAAAAAATGGAAAGACAAGGATTTCCCAAAAGATAAAGGTGTAACCTTTCTTAGATGCTGATAAAAATACTGATTAGCCTTCAGTTCACATGCTCAGATTGAAGTCTTATGTGAGGATCCATGAAGAGAAAGACCAAGCATTTACAGCTATAAAAGTACTATCAATAGTTAATGTCATTTTTTATAGTCTATGATCCAGTGTGAATACTTATACACTTGATATTTTCATAATATACTTTGCTTTTAGCACTCTTCCCTTGATGTCACTATGTTTTATAATACACGTATAATATATAATGCAATTCTGTTTTGTTGTTGTTGTTTTTTGAGATCTTTGCCCAGGCTAGCCTTGAGCTTCTAGGCTCAAGCAGGTTTCTGCCTTCATCTCTCAAGCAGCTAGAACTACAGGCATACACAAGAGTGTACCCAGCTCAGTATTTATATAGTTCATTACCATTATGAAACCAAACAAATTCTGAATTCTAAAACCTAGCTGGCCCCTGCAGGATTCAGATAAAGAATTCTGGATTTGTTATAAAAAGAATAGCATGTACAAAGATGAAGCAAAATACTAAATGTGAATGTTGACTTCTTCATATTTACCCTGAAGAATTAAAGTCTAGTTATCCATCAGTGAATGAATGGATAAAGAAATTGTGGCATAGAAAACAGTGGAGTTTATTCAACCATAAAGAAAAATACAGTCATGGCATTTGCAGGAAAATATTTGGAACTAGAGACCATCATGTTAAGTGAAATAAGTCAAACTTAGAAAGTTAAGGAGCATATGTTTTCTCTCATATGTGGAAGCTAGAGAGTAAAAAAGAAAATAGGTGGTGATGGATCTCCTAAAAGTCAAAGGGAGATCAGGAAAGGAAAGGGACCAAGAGGTTGTTGATAAGCAGGGAGGGAGGGGGGAAATGCTGGGGAGTAATATTGGCCAAATTATATCATTATATTGTGTGCTATATAAATATGTAACAACAAATCCCATCAATATGTACAACTATAATGCACCAATAAAAATGTGGAAAAAATTGAAGAATGTTGAAAATCATTAATTTTTGAAGTAATTCATTGTCAGGTGAATCTTCTGTATCAAATAACAATCCCCACATTCTTTCTATAGGATTGAGCAGTTGATAAGTGAACATGAAGTTGAAATCACAGCACTTACTGAGAAAGCCAGCAGTGCTCGAAGCCAAGCCAATAGTATCCAGAGTCAACTGGAAATCATTCAGTATGTGTCCTCATGGTTCAAAATTAATAATCATTCATCTTCATTTTAAAAATAATGTTAATTAATACCCTGTTCTAAGATCTTTTAAAAATTGCTTACTAATTGATTCCACAAATGAAACTTTTCTAACACTCAAATGAGCAGAAAAATGACAATATAAAAGATAATATAATCTGACAATATAAGAAATATTATTGCTAGTATTTGGACCTGTTGGAATTGCTGTTCTTTTAAAAAAAATTTTTCAATTTATTTACTTACTTATTTTTGGATTACTGGGATTGAACCTGGGGCCTCATACATGCTAGGTAAACACTCTATCTTTGAGCTATATCCCCAGCTCTTGGCTGTATTAATATTTCAACAATAGGGTAAAGTAAATTATACCACATATATATAATTATATAAATAAATAATTATAAGTAAAAACTAAATAAATAATTATAGTTTTATATGCATATATATGTTTATATATATGAATGTATAAATATATATAAATAAATATATGTATATTAAACTGTAATTTGAGATAGTATGTTTTGTATAGATATTTTCAAATATACAAAAACAGGAAAAAATAGTGTAGTAAACTCATATACTCATTCAGCTTTGGCAATTTATAGTTTTGAGCTGAAACTTTTCTTTCTTTTTTTTTTTTTTTTTGTGCTAGGGTTCAAACCCAGGGTCTTATGTATGCTAATTATGCACTTTAGCATTGAGTTCTGTCCTCAGTCCTGAGCTAAAGCATTTGAGAAGCAATTTTATATAACAAAAACACTTAGCCTAATAATGCCACATGAAATAATTAGTGGTAGTGTCTAAATGACAGGGTACCCTAGGTATCACACTGATTCTTAGTTTTCTCTTTGTACTTATATTCCTTCTTAACCCTTTGTAGAGAACAAGCAAGAAACCAAAATTCAATGTATATGCGTCAGCTCAGTGAACTGGAATCTACTGTTTCTCAGCTGCGTTCTGAATTAAGGGAAGCCAGAAGGATGTATGAAGACAAAGTAAGTTTAGGTTTTGCTTTTCTACTTCTAGGGACAGAAATCAATAATATATTTTTAATAGTTTACTTGAAAATAGGAATCAGAATAATAACTTCAAACTAAAATCAATTTGTGAGCTGGAATAAGAAGGTGATAAATTATATGTTAAATTATAAACATTTTTTTTATTTAAATTGCACACATTAATTCATTATTAGAAAAACATTTTTGCCCACTTCAAGTAAGTTTCTAAAAAACAAATTCAGGGGTAGGGAATGTAGTTCAGTGGCAGAGTTGCTTGCCTACTATGCATGAGGCTCCGAGTTTAATCCCCAGCAACATGAAAATAAATAGATAAATAATTTTAAAATAGGACCATCTTAATTATTCTTACAAGGTTTAGCTTTAGTAAATACTTCAAAACCAACTGGTCTACTACCTTTCACACTCAATATTTGGGGGGCCTACCTCCTTTCTTACTTTTAAATCTTTAGTAATTATTGTTTGGTTAGCAAACTGAACTTCAAGGTTAATTAAACTAATTAAATAAAATAATGATTAATTAGGAAAATAGATCTTCATCTTTTAACATGTAATTCCTATTAAGGTCAGATATTAACTAATATTTCATATTCTGCTTTTGTTCTTTTTTTTACATACCTAAAGGGAAGTTATTCAATATCATTATCAACCACTTATTCAGAGCTTACATCTTTGTTAGTTTTAATAATTTTTAAAACAGTAAAAATCTTAAAAAACAAGCAAAGAACTGCCATTCAGAAGAGCTCATGTTCTTTATTCCCTGTGAGAAGGGTTACCATCAATGATGTTTGACTGTAATGGTCTCAGTTTATGCCTGCTATCCTAGTGTCTTGTAATTGCTAGCTTTCATCTCCTAAGTGTCCCAGTTTGGAAAATAAATCTATCTTTAGTATTCCTGCACATAAGAGATCCTGATATAGTCATGCAGAGACAATTTAGGTATAGTTCTAACCATTACATTTAGTTAGTTTCTCAACACCTAAGCTATTGGGAGTGATGAGTAGAAGAAATGGGTATAGAGAAGTCAGGCTGGGGTTGTAGCTCAGCAGTAGAGCACTCACCTAGCAGCCTAGCATGTGCAAGGCCCTAGGTTCAATCCTCAGTACCCACATAAAAATAAAAATAAAATAAAATAAAATAAAGGTAAAGGTATTGTGTCCAACTACAACTAAAAAATAAATATTTAAAAAAGGGAAAGTCACCCGACTCCTTTTATAAAGTGAAATCAGTTCTGTAGGTAACATTATGGGGGAAAAGGCTCTGCTTAGGAAGAATTGAATATCTGGCAGCACTAATCTTTCCAAACCATTGACCTTTGGGCAATTTTAATTTCCAATGGCACTCCCGTACTGGCCACAGGAGGGGGCTGTTTTTCCTTGTATCAAGCTTAAAAATTAGACCTTGACCTTTAACTTCTGTGGTAAAACTGAGATAAGACTAGAAAATTTAGCAGTAAAGAGTAACATGAAATTGTATAATCTCAGTAATAGATTTAGATTCTCTACAGTTGTATCTTTCAGATGTTTTTAATCACTTCTCATAGGAAGAACTATAATTCATCTTATGACCCAATTCAAACCCAAGCAACTGAACCAATTTTATAAAACAATATTTACCCTATTACATGTGAGTCAGTTTCTCTTCTCAGATGCTAAATTGAAGCTCATTAAAATGATCTAATGATTTACTGATGGCTTGAAGTTTGAATGAAACTGTCTCTTTTATAAACCTCCTTGCATAGCTCTTAGCCTAAATCCCTGTGGCAGGGTATTTCAATTACTTCCACTTCCAGGCTACCCTGAGAGACTAAGAAGCAAAAGCCCAGAGAGGAGCATTTATTCTTTCTGGCTCCTCTGAGGTCTCCTTTTTGTGTTCTAGTTTCTTTTCTCAGGACAAGCTTTTCGCCTGATGCTTGATAGCAGGAATACTCACCCTAATCTGGATAGACTAGGTCTATACAGAGGGCATGACCTCACCCTACAGAGCATAGAACACAAGGATGGTCATGATTTCAGTACATCATGGTCTGGGAGGATGCTGTATTGCTTGGGTCTAGTGGAGGTTGGCACATTGGCATAAGTAATAGCTAATAATCTGACAGAGAGGATGATTACATTACATCCAGTACAATAACTGATACTCAAGACTACACAAACCATTTTGAAAAGACTATTAATAATTTAATGACAGATTAAACCCTTTTTGAAAAGTCACAAAGTGCCAAATAGAGCTTGACTTATGTTTTCTTACATAATTTATAATGCTGTAGGTTTTTCCATTATAGGCTTGTTTGGAAAAATTAAACCATCATATATAAACCTCACCTATTATTTGCTAATTTACATTTGCTCTGACATATAGTATCATGTTGATCAACTGTAAATCAGGACATGGTGGGAAATTTTAATAAATACTAAATATTCATCTTAGGAATACAAAAAAAGTTCCTGAGTTTTTATAAGCATTTTTCTTTGACATTGTAGAAGCACAAACATCAGAGGAAGGACTGCAGACTTTTTACATGGGGTCATATAGATAAAAACATTAGCATCATTGTCTTAGCTTGCTCTAATATAAACAATGGATCACCAAAAATTTTGACAGTCTTACATAGTAAACAGTTAATAGAAACAGGAGGGCTTATTGGCTTAACCAGTTTTAACTGAGATCACTGAGATGTTGCTAATACAACATAGTGGACTTTATAGAGCCAGTACCTGGTTAATAGTTAACTAGGCTGTATTAATAGTAACTCTCTTTCATTTTGTCAGGGAACACTAAGAGATAATTATCGACCATGTTAATATAGAGTTAAATATACTTTGGCCTGAAATGGCATTAGTACATAGTATAGGTGGGCAAGGAAAATCAAGCAAGTTAACAAAATGGATTTCATTGGGGGGCCACGAAAATTCTATTATTATGAAATGTTTTGTTATAATAAATACAGAATTGAAAAAGCAAATTCTTCTACTTTATTTTATTTTCATATGCCTTGACTTTATATTGCCTAAACCTATGAAAACATTAAAATCTATTTTCTGCTGCTTTGGTGCATATTTAGTATATACTATCCAAAGAACAATAAGAAAAAAAGGATCAAAGAAAATAGTATATAAAAGCTGTAATAATTAAAAGTGAAATTTGTGTGAAAAAAAACTATAAAGTGTTGATATTGTACATAATCCTACTTTATCAAAGGCAATGTTTTTTCATGAGATCAGAGTCCTCCATTTAAAATAAAAAAGCATTGGTCTGGGGACATGGCTCAGTGGCAGAGCAAGTGTATAGCATATGCAAGGCCCTGGATTACATCCCCAGCACCCAAAATGATAATGATGATGATAGTTGTATTTTAAAAGAAAGTGTTAACTTTTTTAAAAAATGAATGGAACAATAGAGCTGAACAAAACTAGAATTCCTAAATTAAGAGAAAACTCATTCAGGAGGGTAATGTTTCTCCTCAGATTCACAAATTATTTTCATATTGTAAAAATAGAAATTATGTTACAAAGAAAATTTTAGATGTAGCTTTTGGAGCTGACATAAGTGTTTTGCTGTAATGCTGTTTTCTATTCTTCTCTTTCCATTTTAGGAGAACCTCCAGAATTCCCCTTTTCGAATTTGGACCAGTAGAAGCTGTCACTATTGGCTCTGTAGATTTGGCTTTACTCTTTAACTTTCGCTTTTTGACAACAAAAATATCTCATGATCTTGATTCTAAGTTTATTTTTCTAATTTTGAAAGCAGTTGGGGCTGAATTTCATTCATACTTAAAAAATGAAGATTTAGTAGCACTGGCTGGAGCAGGAAGATTCTGTGCAGATGCTTTGCATAGTTCTGCTAATGCACCTTCATGCTGACCTGCATTATTATTACTCATTATGCAGTGCCTGTGTTTTGGGGGGTTTTTAGCACAGAAAAAAATCAAAGCAAAACAAAACAAAAACACCATTTAAATAATTTTACATGATTTGATATGATTGGTAATATCTCTAAAATCAATGCAAAGTTAGAATGAAATTCTCCCAATACTCATTGTTCAGTGATTCAAACCAAAAAGTGGATTCATAGATGGTAAAAGGGAAAACCAGTGCTGCTAACTAAAAAGAAAAGAAAAAATAAAACAAATAAAACCAAAAAACAAAAACAAAAAAAACTTTTATTGCATCTCAGATATCAGTATGTTTCTGGATATTCTAAAAGGCTTTTCTTTGTAGTATTTTTTACAGCTGTTTGTATCAGCTTAGCTGCTACTTCAATGGTTTTCCCTTTCACTGTCTATTATCTTTTTAATTAATTAATTCATATAAATATTTTTATTCTTAAAAAGTGAAAGGTAAAAGCAGAGCTATAGCAGCTGAGTCAGTACTGACAGCTACAAAACTATGTTCCTGCAGGGGTCTGGAGGAACTTCTGATATTTAATGAAAAGATGGAAAGATAAGATGTGGCCCATTCTTGCCTTCTTTCCCTCCCTCATTTCCTCCCTTCCTCTAATTTTGGTCTCATAGATTTTATCATCAAATTTGAAGTTATAAAATGGTCATGCAGCCTTTTTTTAAAAAGTAAAAACAGACCAAAGAAAGTAAATTTTAATTTGAACTTGTAAAGCACACATTGCCCAAGGACAGAAACAGTTTATGCCAAGCTAGGAGTAGAAAATATGTGCTTTAGTCACATGATTAACTCACACTAAAAGTATTGAATTTATAGCTCAAAAGACAAGTGGAAAATAAAGAACTTCAAATGATATTATTATTCTTATGTGAAAAGTATTAGAAACAGAACTGAAAGGAACATGAGATCATCTGGACTTTCTTTTCAAACTATATGTGAAAAAACTTGAGATAGAGAAGTTATGTGACAGAGGATGAGAACCTAAGGTGTTTTGACTCTTAATGTGATCTTAACTGCCTCTTGGATCATGTTTGTTTGTCCATATCTTGCCAGGGAAATATGGTAACTGTGTGATAGGACAAGTTTGTGGTTCTTTCTGAAAGTATTCTTTTTGTTATTATTTTGTGGTGTTGGGGATTGAACCCAGGGCCTCATACATGCTAGGCCAGTTTTTAACCACTGAGCTATATCTCAGCCAAACTTAAATCTTAATATCTTTACCAACTATGTGCTGGTCTTCCCTAATAATGATAAAATTGAAGAGATGATGTTAACTGGTATTATTCATTCATTGTTTTCTCAAGAAGTTACTTATGCTATGGAGTTATGCTTTTGAGACTAAATGTGTGTGTGTGTGTGTGTGTGTGTGTGTGTGTGAACTATATATGTCTTCAAAGGATTATAAGAGTAAAAAGTAACTTTTTTGTGTGTGTTGCTGAGAATTGAACTCAGGGCTGTACCATTGAGCTACATCCCCAGCCCCAAGTACTTCTTTATTATTAGAGTTTAGGTACATATTTTAATCAATAGTATTTTATCTATACCTCATCTTGTGAAAAAAATTTTTATATATGATATATAATCAATGTAACATCAGTTTAAAAATATATTCAATGTAATATTAAATCTGTATCCTGATCCCTGTAGGCTATAATACACTACAAGTAAGTATAAAACTGTTTGATAGTCTTATATACATGTTAATATGTTTATAGAAATATACCATATGTATTCATGCTTATTATGTATCAAATAAATGGTTGCAGATATATGTGTATATAATGTTTTTGAATGTATGTTCAGTTAATAAATGCAAGTAAAAATAAACTAGAAAGTCATCCAAAAAAGTTTGTGTTGGTCATATGTTCTCTAGATAGAGAGGTTTAAGCATAGTTCATCATCTCAAACTAAGTTTCATTCTTGACATAGTAGATTTGGAAGTCTAATGAATAGATGCTTTAGAAGTAGGAAGAAATATAGAACGCTTATACAGATATGAAAGATTTCTTATCACTAGAAAGTAGATAATAAAATAATATTGTGGATATCATTGCTAGAGGTCAGGTATGCTATCTAATACTAAGTATCAATATATTTTCATTATTTTAATATTTTATTATCTAAGTTGTGGTATGTGTGGCTCATTTAAAATCCAAACCTTGAGTCTCCTGGTCAGATAATTGGCTTAGACGATGCTGCATGCTATACCCAGAAGTTCAGGGCTTTAGAAACATTATTAATAGTCAGGCAGCCTCTGTCCTCCATTGAGGTAATACAAGCTGAGGGCTTGAGGAAATAAAATGTTTGGTGCCCCTTTGTTTGCTACCAGTGGTACAATGGAATAAATTTTTCTCTCTACTAAATAGATCAAACAGCTACCCTGACTGTGAGAAAAAAAAATATATGCATATTACAATCATTAAAATTGGTATCGTTAACCCCATTTTATAGTTGAAGAGAATGAAGATTAAAATGGTTAAATCAATTTTTAACTGTAATAAAATATATATATTTGGCCAAACTTTCAAAATATGGTAACTATATAATGATGACAATAGCTATAATATCTATCATTCATTCTTTTATTTTCAGTGTTTTTTAGTATTGAAACTGATATTCTAAAACAAAATATCTCTTATAAGTATAATACAGTTCATTTGTGTAGCAACCAGCATGCTATCTGTGCCACAGCAAGCTTCCTTAAATACCAAATTACAGAACATATCTTGACAGAACATAAAGTCTGAGTAGTATGAATATGAGAGGAGTATTATAGATAATGTCCAAACCAAATAGTACCAAATATTTTGTCTTGTCTGATTTTCCTGATTAATTCTGCATAAATCCTAAACTTAGAAAACTTTGAAAACTTATCACAATAAACTTACATTTGCCCTCAACATAATGCTGTTTGTTTTCCAAAGATCATGTTTGTTTTTTATGACTCATTGGCATAGTCAGTCTGATTTATGTTCTTCTTTTAGATAGAAGATCTGGAGAAGCAATTAGTCCTTGCCAATTCTGAGCTCACTGAAGCACGTACAGAACGGGATCAGTTCAGTCAGGAATCTGGAAATTTGGATGATCAACTTCAAAAGCTATTGGTAAGATTATGCTCTAAAATATGAATAAGATTGATTCTGGGAAATTTTTCCTCAAAATATTTTTAAAAACTAGTTTTCTTTATAAATTCATAAATTTTACAAAATATTGTACACACATAATAGACTGTCAGATCACATGTTGTATGTAAAACAATGTTCTGTGTACTTTAATTTTTTTTTAAGCCGAGCTGTTATTGTGTAGGGAAATAGGGATTTTCAAGTAGCCAGTCTTTTTCATTTATTTATTTTTAGTTATCAATGGACCTTTATTTAATTTATTTATTTATATGAGGTGCTGAGAATTGAACCCAGTGCTTCACCCATGCCAGGCAAGCACTCCACCACTGAGCCACAGCCCCAACCCACCAGCCACAGTCTTTTAATTAGAACTGTATTCTACTAAGTTGAAGTAGTGTTAAGTGTTCATTTTAAAGCTAAATATCAAACATATACAAATTTTGTCTGTAGAAATTTTGAATGGATGTTCAGAGCGGATTTTTAGAAAAAGAAACTGGCAGTAGGATTGTGATAGTAGTGAAGAAGTCTATCTGTTAGAGGTACTGCAGATTGAACTATCTAGGAAAGGAAATGTCCCAGGCTCCTTTGTGTGGTATCAGTGGTACAGCAGAATAAATTTCTCTCCCTGTCAAGCCCCATGCTAGGGCATCATGCTCTGCTGGAAAAGCCATCATCCTTTCTGCACTGACAGGGGTGATAGGCTGTGGAACTAACAAGTGTGTGCCAGGAACACTACACTGTGGGAGAATCCTGTTGGATGCTCCCTAATGCTCTCCTATCTTGGAGAATGCTGGGCGTGGTCACACATGCCTGTAATTCCAGTGACTCCTCAGCAGGCAGAAGGATCACAAGTTGAGATCAGCCTCAACAACTTAGCAATGCCCTCAGAAACTTGGCAAGACCCTCTCTACTCAGTCTTCCCCCCAAATTGCAATATGCTCCCTCCCTGTTTTTCTTTCTCATCTTTGTATCTCCAAGCTGTTCTCAATTTCTAACTCAGATCTTTCTGAAACATTTCTATTCCTTTAGTGAAATTATCTCTGATATAACTTATTTGTCTATAATGAAAATCACTTCTTTTTTGAGCGTTTATGTGTCTGTCATCTTCCTTTTGGGTGATAAATCCTTTGCAGTGTGCCTTTGTTTCTCATATTCAGTATAGATATTTGGAAACAGTAAACACTCACTGTGTATTTTTCTTTTTTTAAAGAGAAAGAGAGAGAGAGAATTTTTTAATATTTATTTTTTAGTTTTCGGTGGACACAACATCTTTATTTTATTTTTTTTATGTGGTGCTGAGGATCGAACCCAGCCGCGTATGCCACTTGAGCGCGATACCGCTTAAGCCACATCCCTAGCCCCTATTGTGTATTTTTTTGAGTGACTGAAAAGAGGTCTTTCTATTCATAGCCCAGATGCTCTATTCTGCCATATTTTTTAAGATTTTGAGCATTTCTTTATTGCAGGAGCACACTTGATGTGAAATATCAAGTTTTGTTATAAAATTCAAGACTTAAACACAAGATGACTTTTAAAATCTATTGTAATAGATTTCCTTTGCAGTATATATTATTTGAAGTCTAGTTCCTTGAAATCAATTTGTAATGCTATTTTTTTTTTATGTGTTTGTGTGGTGCTGGAGATTGAATCCAAGGCCACAAGCATGCTAAACACAGAGCTCTTTCCAGTGAGCTACACCCACAGCCCTTGTAATGCCAAATATTTTAGGTAAGCAAAACATTAACTTATTTTTTGAGAAAATAATCACACTTAATCAAGCTATTAAAAAGGAATCAGATTCCAAAGATCAAAGGTTTTTCAAATGATATAACTCCAAAAACAAAAGAGTTACATTTTAATTATTTAATACCAGGTAGAGGAGGGAAGAACATACATTCTTATTTCTTTGGTTGTGTGTGTGTGTGTTTGTCTGCCTGTCTATGGTACTGGGGATTGAACCTAGAGCCTCCCACATACTAGGCCAATGTTCTGCAACTGAGCTATATCTCCAACCCAGCACATTCCTCACTCTTTTAGGCAGACCTGCACAAGAGGGAGAAGGAGCTGAGTCTGGAGAAAGAGCAGAACAAAAGGCTGTGGGACCGAGACACGGGCAATAGCATCACCATTGACCACCTTCGTCGTGAGCTGGATGACAGGAACATGGAGGTGCAGCGCCTGGAGGCCCTGCTCAAGGCCATGAAGAGCGAGTGTCAGGGCCAGATGGAGCGGCAGGTCAGAGCATTCAGGCTGTGCCCCACCAGGTGGTCTCTGCTGGGGGAAGAATGTATTTTATGTCTACTGGTGCAGTTTTCTTCTTTTATAAATGGGCCTAAGATAGCTCTAAAATAAAACTATGGATTCTATGAGCAATTTTTAAAAACCTGGTATTTATTTCCATATTTTGACCACTTGTCAAACTAAATATGTAAGACTTTATCTCATTTGTATATTGGTGAAAAATTGAACTCCACTACAACTACCTTTTTATTTTCACCAAGAAATTGGTAACCTAATAATTACTTAACTTCTACTACAGAAAAGCTCAAGCTATCAGGAAATATTGAAGAATAGCAGGGTTGAAGGTTTATAACAGATTTTTTTGTTGTTGGTTTGTTTTTGCTTTTCCCCCAAAAGAGATTTTCCCTTCATCCCTGCCTCCCCTGATTGAGACTGATGGGTGTGCACCATTCCAATGCACTAGTAGCAAGATGTGGACTGCTCTCTTAACAGCTGTGTATTTTCAATTCAAATTCCAGTTACTTCCTCAGAGACATAAAAAGTACCCCACAATGTGTAAATTTCTCAAAGTGTGAAAGTAAATAAAGTGATCCATCTTGGCTTAGACCCCAGGGAAAGCCATTTCCCTATTCTCTGGCTTAACTTCATCTAGAAGAAAGATAGAAGAACCAATTGGAAATTATAATCTTACCTTTTCCACATAAGGGCCAGAGAATGTGAATGTGTATTGGATAAAAGCCATTATTCCTTTTCCCCTCAGAGGTCAAATAAAGGGAAGGCTGGAGCAAAATAGAAAATAAGAGCAGTTATCATCACTTACTGCCCTTCCCCTCATCACCAGTGTTACTTAATCTAGAATAGTATAGAAAGCATCCTCAGAGGAATTTCCAACCCTCCTTTCCTGGAAATCTATTACTGAGAAGCATCCTTATTTGAGGCCTCTCCACCTTGTCTAACACATTCGTAGGTCTTACACATACTGTCAGGCTGGGGTTCTGACAGAAAATTATTTGAATTAGTAAATCACACTTTATCCAAACCATGATTTCATACTTTTGAGTTAAATTGTTACAGATCCTGAGGTTGCCCATACCTATCCTCCCAAATCCAGGAAACTCTCTTTTCTTTAACAATCAGATGGCAGCGATTCAGGGGAAGAATGAGAGTCTAGAGAAAGTGTCCTCCTTGACTGCTCAGCTCGAATCCACCAAAGAGATGCTCCGCAAAGTAGTGGAAGAGCTGACGGCCAAGAAAATGACTCTGGAGAGCTCAGAGAGGACAGTGTCTGATCTGACAGCTTCCCTCCAAGAAAAAGAGCGAGCCATCGAAGCTACCAATGCAGAGATCACAAAGCTCCGCTCTCGGGTGGACTTGAAATTGCAGGAACTACAGCACTTGAAAAATGAAGGAGATCACCTCAGAAATGTGCAGACGGAATGTGAGGCTCTGAAGCTGCAGATGGCAGAAAAGGACAAGGTGATTGAAATTTTGCGCCAGCAAATTGAAAACATGACACAGTTGGTGGGCCAGCATGGACGGACTGCTGGTGCTATGCAAGTCGAAAAGGCTCAGCTGGAGAAAGAGATTAATGATAGGAGACTGGAACTACAGGAATTTAAGGTCTGTATGGTACTTTTTGTTGGCTTAACTTCTGAAATTTCTTCTTTCTTGTAAGGAAGTACAAACTAATTTATTGAAAAAAGGGTTCTTGTTGACTGTGGATCTTCTGAAATAGAAAGGATTTGTGTCTGTATGTATTTTTTTGAGAAAAGGATCATACTTTTATCAGATTCCAAAGGAGTGTATATCCCCAAAATGGCTCAGAATCACAAGTACCAAAAAAAAAAAAAATCACCTATTCTGATGCCATAGTTTGATATTGTCTCCCTTTTCAGACAGGCCTAAGTTTGAATATCATCTACCAGCACTTAATAATTGTGTAACATTGGACTGTTCACTGAATATCAGCATCTGTGTCTGTTAAACAAAACAAAACACAAAAACAAAAGAGATACCAACAACTTTATTTGGTTGCTATCAGTCTTACATCAGAAGATATATATCAAGGGCTTAGCCTAGATCTTGGCCTATATAAGGTGTTCAGCAAGCATTAATTCCTTCTCCCACTTCATTTTCTTTCTGACCTTTATAATACATTACTTGTTCCTGTTCTAACCTGGATTATCACGTTCTATGTTGTGCTACATGTATGTGTGTATGTGTGTGTTTAAATGTGTGTTCAAAAAGAGACAATAGTCTCTTTTCCCTTACCAAACTATAGGCTTCCTAAAGCAGGGTGCACATCTTATTCATCTTTGTTTTTCCTTCCCTGTGTCACTTGGCCTTGCCTCCCAGAAGATCCTTAGTAAATATTTACCAAAATTTAAAATGTTTGACTAAGTGTGGTGTTATACATCTATAATCTCTGTGACTTAGGAGTGTGAGACAGGATAATTCAAAGTTGAAGGCCAGCCTTTAGCAACTTAGCAAGGCTCTGACTTGGAAAAAGAAACAACAGAAACTTTAGGTGCTTCCTTTTCCTCATTCTAAAAATAGGACCAGCAATAGATTATTATCTATATTAAGGAAATAATTAATTGCATAACAATTTAGACTTTTCTATTGCTTAAGCTTATATTGATTATATTTTTTAAATAGCCAAACTCACCATGAAAGGGACACATACAGACTTATCATTTTTCTTTTTCTTTTCTTCATTTCTTTTCTCTTTTATTTTTTAACTGAACATAGGCTTTTTATTATCATTATTCCCTGAACAATACAGTATAACAACTGCTTACATAGCATTTACATTGTATTGGGTATTATAAGCCTTCTGGAGATTATTTGAAGTCTATAGAGAATGCGCACAAATTTTATGCATTTTATATCAGAGATTTGAGTATCCAAGGATTTTGGTATCTGAGGGTGGTCCCAAAACCAAAGCCTCATGATACTGAAGGATATCTGCACTCGGAAAAACCTCTATTCTACTCTGTCCCTTATGTTAATCATCTTTTTATCACTATGACAAAATTTCTGAGAAAAATAACTGAGGAAAAATTTATTTGGAGTCACTATTTCAGAGGTTACAGACCACAGTTTCTTGGTCCTGTTGCCTCCGTGCCTGTGGCAAGGCAGTATATCATGGGAGTGTGGGTTGAGGAGATTCAGGTGTATCATTTTTCAACCTTACAGTGAAAACTTTAGGACAGGTTTGCATGCAGGATAGAACATATTTAGGGAGACGAGATGATTGTCCTACCTTCTTGCCTAGGAAGATAGATTGCTAGTGTTGTTAAAGTGACAAATGGAAAAATCTCACAGTCTGAAACTCTAAAGATGTAATCAATTTAATCCTTATGATGGAGGCACTATTATTATCGTACTCCACAGATGATGAAACTGAGACACAAAGATTAAATAACTTGCTGGAAGGCAGCACTGCTTTAAGAATTGATCCTAGACAGTATATGAGTAGGTATTACTGCTCAGCCAGAATCCCCTGGAAACCTGTAAAAGGCAGGCTGCTGGGCCCCACTGTAGAATTTCTGAATCATTAGGTCTAAAACTGGGCTTGAGCCTTAATGTTTCTGAACAAGCTTCCAGAAGATGCCGATAACTGCTAGTCCAGAGAGCACAAGTCAAAATCTATATTAGTACTTCAGTGGAGTGTGGATCACCATGAGCAGAATTGCTGATCAAAGTGTCAGAAAGGTAGGGACTTGAAATGGGAAGAGACTAGGCAGAGAGGAGGAAGCAAGGCATTGAAGCAAAGAAAGTGAAGCTGAGTCTAGATTAGCCTGGAGGTGGTGTGGGAGCTGATAAGGGTTTTAGGTGGAGAAGAGGAGTGACATGAAAATGGCAATATTAGAAGTAGATTAGGTGACATCAGTACACAGAAGTGGGTTGGAGAGATTGAAACCAATCTTAACATATACCTAGCTAGAACAGCTGAGAGTTCCTAGGTGAAAAGAGTTTCACATGGATGCAAAGGCTGTAAGTTAAACACTGAAGCTCTAATGCATCATCCATTTCCCTCCACGGTCAAATGGGGAAAGGAAGGGGAGTTGTAGCCCTAAAAACTACGGTTTCTCTCACCTCTGTAGGCTGGGTACTGTACACATGGACAACAGAGAAGCAGAGTGAGCCTTCTCCTAATCACCATGGCTGCTCAAAGCTGGACCCTTTCTTAGATGATGAAGAAAGAATCAAATGTTATCAGCTGGTTTAAGAGGTAGAAGAGGAGTGGCACATGCCTAGGATGTGTTGTGATGCCTCAGGGTGCCGCAGGGAGAGCTCTCCCCTCCCTCACCCTCTGAGGCCAGCAGCATTTCATGTGTCATTTACCAGAACAGGCTAGGCAGTGATCAGGTAGCCCTTTTAGGGCCTTCACTTTTCAAGCCCATTACAGATGGGGGGTGAAATAAGCCTGGAGTACCCCAGTGATCCTTTTTGTATCAGCTAAATGCTTGTAGTGTGTTTACTGTTCAAATACAGTATCACCTCCACATCTACACTGTTATCACAGTTATATTATATTGGCTTGTATCGTATTATACCTAACTCATTATTTGAGTCAATTTTGCATTGCTGTGACCAAAATGCCTGACAAGAACAACTTAGAGGACGAAAAGTTTCTTTAGGGCTCACAGTTTCAGAGGTCTCAGTCCACAGATGGCTGACTCCATTGCTCTGGGATCAAGATGAGGTAGCAATCATGGGGGAACCTCCCAGTAGAAGAAAGATGGTTAGTTTGTGGTGAGGTCAGGAAGCAGAGAGAGTGAGAGAGGGCGAGAAACCACAGGAAGGACACACTATTCCAGAACATACCCCTAGTGACCCATCTCCTCCAGCCATGCCCCACTTGCCCACCCAGTCAGTCTGTTCAAACTAAGATGGACTGATTATGTTACAATTCTCACAACCCAACTATTTTACTTCTGAACATTCCTGCATTAATAGGGGCTTTTGGAGGACACCTCATATCCAAACCATAATATCCATTAAATCCCAAGTCTTTAATTCTGTGTGAATATTTCTATGAAATTGACTCAAGTGAATTAAAATAGTTTGAAAATCATAATCTAGAGCTTATTTATGCTTTATATATTTTTCATATACATACAAATATGTGAAATATACATAATATATATTATTAATAATATATGTGAAATATATATTTTTTCACTCTACTAACTCACCTATTATTTTCTCAAAAGAATAAAACTCCAAACATAATATTTATTTCAAAAGTTACCTTAAGTGGCACATTTGTTGCTCAATTCAAGTTTTCATATGTGTCCCATATCTGGGACAATGGGACTTAACATGTTAAGGCCATTAGGCCTTACCTGGAAGGACAATATGATGACCCGATAAAGTAAATTGTTTTTCAGATGGCATTTATTTACTTGGACTGATCTAGGCTAGTCCTGCCCACTAAATGCAAATCCTTACCTTGCCTCTAAGGTCAACTGGATCTTACCATGGTTCCCTATCTGACCTCATCTCCTACTTCACTCCTAATTCACTTCCCTTCAGCCATACTGATGGCCTTGCTGGGGACTGGGGCTCTCCCCTAGCTTACCTATGTGACTTGCTCTCTTATCACTTTGAAGATTCTACTCAGGTGTCATGTCATCAGTGAGGTCTTTCCTGACCAACGGTGTCAGGGTTCACAGGACCAACCCTAGGCTTTATAAATCTTTGAAAGGACTAATAGAACTCAGAGTTCTGCTAATGGCTAAGAGAATAAAGCAAAGTCTGCACCCTCTTTTCTTATTCTTGTCACTTCTTTATCTGACATAGTAATGTTTGTTTTCTGTTAGTCTTTCCTCACTAGAGGAGGATGTGAGGACAGAGTCATTGTTTGGTTGTTCCTGGTATCAAGGGCCAGGACTAGATAAGGCAAGTCAGGTGATTTATTTGGAGGTCCACATGTGTGGCCTCACTCACTTTCGCTGAGTCCTGACCCCATTCCTAGGTCCCTAACACGTAAAAGGTCAACTTCCTCAAACTAGGTGCTTAAAGATTTTTTTAAGTTGTAGATGGACATAATATCTTTATTGTATTTATTTTTTTGTGGTGCTGATGATTGAACCCAGTGCATCACACATGCAAGACAAGTGCTTAACCACTGAGCTACAACCCCAGCCCCTCAATATATAACTTTTTAACAAACTAGAGTAGAAATAATGAAAAATTATGGCAAGTGAAACTGGAGAATTGACATTTAGTTTTAAAAGAACAGTGAAATATTCCTTTTTTCCCCACTTACTATTGATGCTTTATAATAAAATACAAATTTAGCATCCTAAAAATAATTCTAAAAATACTAAATGCAGACAGAATATTAATGATATTTCTTGTTAATAGGCACATAATTTTTATTTCTTTCTCTGTCCTTCATATTTGTCATATATTTAGATTTTAAAAGATAAAAAAGATGCCAAGATCCGGGAGCTTGAAGCCAGAGTAAGTGACCTAGAGCTGGAAAAGGTGAAACTGGTGAATGCAGGCTCTGAGCGGCTCCGTGCAGTGAAGGACATCAAACAAGAGAGAGATCAATTATTAAATGAGGTGAAGATGAGTAGGAATGAATTGAACAGTCTTTCAGGTATGTCATTTGAGTTTGAATTCTACTAAAATATAGGGATGCTGTCAAGTCCAATGTGGCCCTAGCACAATTGTGAAAGAAGGGTGGCCATGTCACTTCTCAAATACAGAGGGTTGTGCTGCCCCATTGAACTTACTCATGGCTAAAATCCCCATAATTCTCCATGAAGAGCTTCCACATCTCATGCTCACTCACTAACCATTAACATTATTCAACCCTAAGAGTCCAGGAAATTCTGTACTGAGTTTCCAAGAGATGGGCCAAGGTATCTAGATTCCAGACTTCCAGAAGGAAGGCAGATGTTCTTCATAAATCTTATTATTTGCTCAGTTTGTTTTTATGGAGGTGGAAATGTTGAATTCTTTGAGTGACATAGCTTGATTACAGCTTTAATAATGAATTCGAATTGTAAATAGATTTATGCAGATTTATTGACAGGAAAAATCCAAGGCCTTACATTAAACAATGAAACACTCCAGCTTCTGACTGTGTGATACAGTATCATGTACTAAACACACACACACACACACACACACAGAGTCAGTAACTACTGAGCATTTATTATGCCAGACACTGTGATAGGTTCTTGAAACACTATGTTAGGTCCTAGAAACTCCCCACTAGACTAGAAACTCCTCACAGTGGAAATGTGCTGATGCAAAGGTAGCACAAAGAATAGAGAATTGGCCTCCTAAAGGAAGTCACATCTATGTTGAGTTTGAAAGAGGGAAAGGAATTTGGTAGATGAAAGCGGTAGAAGGATATGCCAAACAGAGAGAACATAAAAGCATGAAGGCATGAATAACATAATGTGATCTCAGAAGTATCAGTTGGAGCAAAAGTAGAAAGGAATGCAGGCTAAGAAATGAGGCAGAATAAATAGGTAGAGCTAGACAGCATGGAACCAGCAAAAGATATTAAATTGGAGATTATTGTCATCAGATTTTACAAAACCACATCAGCAGGTAAATTCAGGAATGACACGGTAATGAGACAGACCAGTCAGTTAAGGGAGACTTTGCAGTGGTCTTGGTAAATATGATGAGGACTCCAACAAAGGAAGTGACAGTGAGAATGGAAGAAGATTAAAGAATTAAGAATATTTTTGGTGGTTGGATCAACAGGACTTAGTGATTGGGGGTTGAGTCTACTTTTGGGTTTTTAGTTTATAGTATTGGGATAATAGCAACCATTGCAGGAGGAACCTATGGAAGGACAGGCTTGAGGACAAAAATCCTGAGATGTAGTCAGTGGGAGGCAAGTAGTTTGAGGTGGCACTGAGACCTCTCCACTAAGATGTCTGGATAGATGGAGATTGATCTTGTTCCCTTTGTAAATAAATCTATATCATACATTAATGCATAAATATAATAAATAGATGGATGAATGTGTATTTTCTAATATAGAAAAAGATGAACTTGTACCAGGTGACTTAGTAGATATGAAAGAAAAAGACAGAGCTGTGCCTGGTGACATACACCTATAATCCCAGTTACTCAAGAGGCTAAAGCAGGAAGGTTGCAAATTCAAGGCCAGCCTCAGAGATTTTAGCAAGACCCTGTCTCAAAATAAAAATTAAGAAGGGCTGGGGATGTAGCTCAGTGGTAGAGCAGAGCACCCTGGGTTCAATGTATCCCCTCCACCACACACAAAAGATAAAACTGGCAATATAACTTAGTTGTAGAATGCTTGCCTAGCATGTGCAAGGCCCTGGATTCAATCCCCAATACTGCAAAAATGAAAAAAGACACATGGTAGTCAATTTAAAAAAATACATGGGAGCCTCAGATTATTTATAGTTTCATGGAGATTGATCTACCTACAGATGGTGGTGAAATCTGTTAATGGTGTATATAGAAGGTTTTTAAGATAAAATAGATCTGAGCTAATTATAATCACAATGAATACTAAGTGGATAAAGGAAGAGGATCCACTCAATGGATTAAAAAGGGTCTGATAGATCCTTTGTATGTATATATCATTTCTCTAACAAATAAAAATATAATTAAATAAATTTACTTCCAATCTCTAAAATTCTATGATCATTAATTGCAAATGAAATATCCTTCATATCAGCCTGATAGAAAAAGTAAACAGTATTATTGATTATTGTATTATATAGAGGACTATGAAGTATTGAAAAGGAATTTTCGAAACAAAAGTGAAGAAATGGAAACTACTACAAATAAACTGAAAATGCAATTAAAATCTGCACAGTCTGAACTAGAACAAACAAGAAATACACTAAAGTCAATGGAAGGATCTGATGGTCATGGTATGTCCTACCAGATATTTTTCTTTTTCTTCTGTTTTTAATTATATTAGTTTAGCTTTATTAAAACATCAACCCATATATATTGCCTACCATCTTTTCACCGTGCCAGGTAGTTTGAGAAATATACAGCTATAGGTATTAATGGTGGATATTATGGAGGAGTAGTTCTGCTTAATTTTTTAAAGCGGAATTTTTTGAGGGAAATTGCTGTGTGCTTAATGACCTCTAATGTATTTGAAATCACTAAAGTATCTGAATCTTTCTTTGCCTGTGGTATTTCAATAAATCCTAACTAATTTGAATGTCTATAAATGTTGGCCAGTTCTCTTTAAGACTATAAATACAAGTTACTGATTATTTCCCCTGACATCTTGTTTTTCACATGTGTATTATCTACATAAACTCTAGATCTATGACTACTTGGCAGTTCTTTATTTCTTCTCTGTGATAACAATGGGAAAGAGTCTTGGCAATTGAACTACTTGCTGAGGGGTCCCTAGACCTGTTTACTTTTTTACCTTGCTGCCCATACTGGTCCAGTTAAGTTATTATCTTAATGACATTAATGAGTATCTCATTGTCTTAATGAGACTAAGTGTTTTGTGTTCTTTCATGATGTTCATATCATTATTGGTATGAATTTATTAACCAGGTATGTTAACTAATATTTATCAAATTAAAGTATGCATTTTTCTTTTTGTCAATATTTTTTTTAGAGAGAGAATTTTAATATTTATTTTTTAGTTTTCGGCGGACATAACATCTTTGTTTGAATGTGGTGCTGAGGATCGAACCCGGGCCGCATGCATGCCAGGCGAGCACGCTATCACTTGAGCCAGTTTCCCAGCCCTTGTCAATATTTTTTAAGGTCAGAAGATTCATATGTGCTTTGGCAGCATATATGCTAAAATTGGAATGATATAGAGATTACTATAGTTCAAGTCCAAAGATGTCACAAAAAATCTTAAGTGCTCCATATTTTGTGTAGTTCTTGGCAGTTTGGTTCTTTGCTAGTTAACACAGAAAAATGGTAAGATTTTCCAGAGGTTGTCAAAGAGGCCTCTTTGGGGTCTCCCACCCATAAGGCATCTCCAGTCATGTTACAGTTATTAAGTTACCTAGGTAATCTTTGTATTTGTTTTCAAATGCTTGTTTTAATTGATTGAAAACCATTCGAGAAAATTACGTTTGAAGGCCAACTATGATTCATTTAATCAGACCAGAATTCTTTTAAGTAGTGAACAAATAATGTTAAGACTTTTGATATATTAATAAATCAATTTACTGTGCCTTTATTAACCCTGTTTTTGTCAGATTAGTGGTAAAACATTATCTTGTTAATGAGAGGTGAAGTTTTCCATTATTTCTGATTGCTTATTTTAAACAAATAGTACATTTTCTTTTTTCTTTTTAACCTTTAAGCTATAGCCAGACTTGATTCAAAGCAGTGTCATTTCCAAACTTCTTTCCTCAGTTGACCTAAAAAAAGAAACACACACACACACACACACACACACACACAAACATACAAACATAGGGACTTCTGACTTTGAATTTCTGATAAGGATAAACTTCCTATATTTTTAATGTCCTATCATGTCTTAAATATTCTGTGCCTTGTACCCATCTAGAACATTTTCATTCTATCACGAGTTTTCCTAAAATAATCACATATATGTTTCTGGTGAACACTTGACCAGAATTGCATGACCATAACTCTGAGACTGAAAATTAAATGGTTTATGATAGCACTGGAATCTTTAAAAAGATCATTAATAGTAGATGTCTTTTATGGGTATTTTAAATGTTTCTATAAAATCATTTTAGTATCAGGATGGAAGATGAAATTAAAACCTTCCACAATAAACAAAAGTTAAAAGAATTTGCAGCTAGAAAACCATCTCTTCAAAAAATCCTTGGCAAAACATTACAGGAAGAGGAAATGGAAAATAACATTGAAAACCAACAGGGGGAGGTAGGACAGTAAAGGGGGGAAAGTAATCAAAGAGGAAA